AAGAGTACAGATTATACCAGTGTATGCATTTTTAAAACTCATCAATTTGTACACTTAAGATGTATAAATTTTACTTCAAGTAAGTGTTTCTTCAAAGAGCTGTAAACAATAGTGAATTCTAGATTTGCATGTTTGCTTTTTACAGTGCTATGGATTAGCAATTGTGAAAACTACTCTCTGTGTGTTCTAGGCTTGAGTAAATGAGTAAATATATTGAAGTGTAATGGGAGCCAGGTTTCTCACTGTTGGAGAAGTTAGTTTTAAACAGAAAAAATACAAGAATGTACCCTATGGTTTTGGATTAGAATCAGAGGGGTCAATATCATAGGAACTCAATGGTTTGATATAAAAAGACATATAGATAAATAAAATATAGATATATGTGTGTACATTATATTTATGAATACGATAAATATACATAGTTTCTTAGCTCTAGAGTTGTTTATAAACACCATTTTTCCATTAAAAATGAAACTAGTGCTCCTGGGAGTAATGGCTAATTCCAGGGGTTAGGATAAGGAAAAGAGAAGATAAGCCTGGAGTATCTTGCTGCAAGAAAGTAAGGAAGTGCACATAGAATGATGGGGACATGTCAAAAGGAGCCAGCTTAAAAGGCCTCTCACTGGCCAAATCTGGTAAAATTCTAAGCAGTGATCCAGGGGCTGTGGATCTGATGTGTTGGGGTAGAAACCCCTCCAACTCAACTACATACCACTACAATTATAAAGGAACCACAGCCTCCTGTGTACATAGATTACTGAGTGCCAGTTGACTTGGTTATTATTGTCCAACTTACATCTACTCACAAGCACTTTCAAGTAGTGGCTGAGGGGTAATTTTGCACGGAGCAATATCAGCAAATCCTTTTGCCAAAAGCAGGGGATTGTATGGAAGAGCTCAGAACTAACACAGCTTCACTGGTAGCGAGAAAGTGGGTGGTTGCTCCAAGAATAGCACCCAGCCTGGGAGCCATGAATGAAGAGTCACCAAACAACGGTTTTTACAGAATGAAAGGGAAAACTATGTAGGTGGAAGCAAAGCAGCAATGTAAAGCAATTAGTTCTAATTCAAAGTGGAAAACAGAGAGGAAAGCAATTATGGTCATTTGTAAAATGAGAAAGCAGAGGGCATGGTTGCCACAACCACGAAAGACTCTCATGACATTTAACTATATTACTTCCTGCTCTCCCATATCTTTCAACACTCATTGCATCTTTGTCCTCTTCTCCACCTGGTCACCCACCCCCCCATATACCTGTCCAATCCTGGTAAACAAATACATAACAAGAAGATATATTAAAAGATCTTTTTTTTCTCTATAGGAGGCGTAGCTACCAACTCTTGAGCTAGAGTTTTAAGAGAGGGCAGGCAAGTCATGGATCAGGCAAAGCACTCTCTCCTCTAAATCCCTGCTCAGAGCCACAGACCTCAGTCTCCAGCTCCCCCTTAATATTCACTCTGCTATGCTCCTGGGGAGTTAAAATGCATTTTGAAATGTAACAATGAATTATGCAAAAAAGACTCAGGCATGAGCTAAAAACAGTCATTCATGTACAAAATGTCCTAAATACTCTTCCTAAAAATGTCATTTTAGATGGTTCTTTACCGTGTTATCCTTGAAAGTCTATAAAGCAATTTAAAATTAAATTATATTTATATGTTATAAAGTAACCATTATATAATGAAGTAGAGAGCACTGAATACTAATGGCAGAACAAAGTACAATTATTTACACTAGGAAGAAAAAGGCATATGTAATAAATTAAACAAAAAGAGTGATTTGATTGTTCTTTTCTGTCCCATTTGTCATTTCTTTGGTTATCTAGCACCTGAAACTCCTTCTTATGTTGGGAGAATTCTCCACCTTATGATTCTCCCCTATAGAGGCTATATACACCCAATTGTTGCTTTGCTGGTCTTCCTGGTAGGTAGGAAGAGGTGTGGGGCCTAAGCTTGGCCAATCAAATGCACCTCCTCATAGGCTTCAAGTAGGAAATGAGTGATGCAAAGCAGTGGGGCCAGGGGAAGTACCTCTCAAGACCCAGAGCAGTGATGGCAGTGGTGCTGTCCGGTGTCAGCAAGCTAGCGTAACCAGCTCTCATCAGCAGAAGTATCACCCACTGCAGACTAGATCTATAGCGAACATTTGTTGGTGATGCTGGCTAGTAAGAGCCCTGCTCTACCAAGTCGTAAGCCAACCAATAGACACTTTTTCTGCTTAACTCAATGAATGTTGGCTTCACTTGCTTGCAACTAAGAATCCTGCCTGACGCATCTATTGCCATCAACTGATCTCACACTGAGCTGCCACCCAGAAGCAGCTATATCTAATACACAGAGCTACTTTTAGTTTGTTCGCTGGTAAAAAAATAATTGCTCCCTTCTGAATTTTGTAGTTATTATTTTAGCTTCTTACTTTTAAAGGCTCTGCTCAAATTAAAAGGTCTTTCCTATTTCAGGGCTAGAAATTATACTTGCTAAGTGTGAATAAAACGAATGAAAATAAATTAGAATAGAACTTTATTAACAGATGATGCACAAGATAAATAATAATAACCCAAATATCATTCCACCTTGGGTTACTGGCTCTAAAGGGGCAGTAGACTACCAGAGGCAAAGTTCCCCATGGTGATTACTCATTAGCTTATTCAAAGTGGCTTTATGGGCTCAGTCCATTTGCCAAATTGACTCTTGCCCAAATTTTCCTGGCACACAAATTACCAACAGTTAACCCTCCTATTAGTAGTCTCAGCAGGAACCGATGCATGAATGAGCATGGAGCCTCTTCTCCTGCCTTGAGAGGCCAACCAGAGCAGTGTTCAGGCCAAATGTCTTAGAATTACCAAAGAGCTATGCCTGGTGTCAGACAATAAATACTCGAATTGCAGATAATGGGGCCTTTGCTTTCCCCGACTTTTGCTCTGGCAGTGATTTAAAGAACTGAACTCATTCAAAATAATGGATTTTTTTGTCTTACTGCTTTTCGATTTCTAAAGCTACAATTTATTCTATATGCAAGGGAACTGAAGATATTTGGGTAAAATATTTCAGGACTAAAGGGACAGGTAATTTTGTTGCTAAAAAGATAACTTTGGTGTTTCTGGTCTTATCAGCTGATGTGATATTTTCTTTATAAGTAAAGATTCATATTAAGAATACAAACTGTAACTCTTCTCACATGTCACAATCTACCAGGACAGAATATCCTTTAGGGACAAAGGGTGGCATTGCCTATCAGAGCCACTCTTCACTGAGACGACACAGCCAATGAATATGGCCATAAAGGACTCCTGTATTCCCGTTATACGTGGGAGACAGATCACTGGCTCATTTCATATTAGCCTCTCAGGACCCATAGGACAGAAACAATTTCCTTTCACTCCCAGCCAGGTTGGAAATGACCCAGTCATTCAGACACAAACAGGATGTAAGTTGATTTAAAAAAAAAAAAAATTCAGCTAGATAATAAAATCTTTGATTCAACTTGAAATCAGTATCTTTTTTTCTCCTATAAGAGAAATGATAAAATGCAAAACTGAAGTAAAATTTAGGAAAGCATGCACTTTTTATATATGAAATGAACATAAAATATTTTCTTGATTTTTGATAACACAGCATAAAACCCAGCAGAAATATTTTATTATGAAATAGCTCATTTGACACATTAAGAACATAATTGAAATGTCTCAGCCAAGAAATACAAATGAGCTTCAGTGACATCAGCTAAAATACACTGGCTCTTGCTTATGCGGTTCGTGGGGATTTTTGAAAATCTCCAGAGACCTCAGTGGTTGTCTGCAGGCCCTTGTAGAGGGTTTGCAAAGTCCAGAGTAAAATTATTTGATTCTGTCTCACATCCACGGAAAGCCTTCTATTCTTCTCCACTATTTCACTCAGTGCTTTAGTTTTGGATCATATGACATACTGAGGAAAAGGTTTGCTTTTATTCAACACCTATACCAGAACATTGGCATACATATATTAATGCAAAGATATAATTACAGGGAAAGAACACACACATTAAATGAGACTATCATAAATATTTATAGTATAGTGCATTCAGGTTAATTGTCAACCAGGTGTTAAATGTGAGCTATGACGAATTCTCTGAAAAGGACAAATAGAAGAAACACTTTAATTTATGCTTTAATAATGGATGGAAAAACATATTGCTTTTAATTCTAATCATGGCAGACATCATTAGCTTCTCTGACTTCCTCACTCTCTTTTCTAATAAAGGGAATCAGTAGTCTCGGCAGCATATTGGAAGGACAAAATATAAACTTCTATCTCCTTATGGCTGATCACAGTTTTTATCACTTAGGCCTCTTTGAAGCATGTACTCATGTGTAATAAATATGTGTGTGCGTTGGTGGGGAGGTGAGGAGGGGGAGGAGGTTGGTTTAAATGAAACACATGTGAGCAGGAGCCTGGAGGTCTGCAGCAGACATAGCCATCAGACCCCAGAGGCGAGTTTGAGACTAACCAGCACTTCAAGATGACACGTTGTGAGATTGCATATACCATACAAACTTTCATTCTATTCTCCTCATGCTGGTTTCATTTTCCAAAGAAATAATAAAATTATTTCTAATTGCAAAGAAATATTTGAGACAGAAGCTGGATAAAATAAGTTTGGGATGCCACCATATGATTAGAATCCTGTTTGCATTACTGGATCACCCACCTAGCAATTAAGCATGTATTATGGCACTAGAAAAGGCAAGTCCAAAAACAAAAATCCATATTTTAAAGAAAGCATCAAAGTAACCATTATGGGAAACATAACTTCTTTGTCATACTTCTTTTATGGTTTAGTGTTATTTTTATTTTGAGTTACATTTGAAGAGGGCCACCAGAATCTGTCAGCATTTTGCATTTTTAAGTACTTAATCCCAACCCTTCTTGAAAATACAATATTTAAGAACAAACAACAACCTCAGAGATGGTTTCTTCATCCTATACTGTGTCATGGGGAAAATGTTTGAAAGTCTCAATACCTTCTTTTGTCTGCTCTCAGCAGCAGCCAGCTGTGTGGACATCCTTTCTTGCATTTTTCTGCAGTGGGCCATGACTGCCTCAAGGATGGAGAGGGGGTTGGTACAGACTGGCTTCTTCTCTTTATCGCCGGCACCTGCTTCATAGTCTCTCTGCAGTGCCAAGAACGGGTCGTTTAAATTAAATCTCCCATACCGTTCCTGAATAAATACCTCCTTCCTGCGAGCCTAGGACAAAATCAGAGGAATGTATTGAAGAAAGAAATGAAAATATACAGAAAGATATTTATAAGAAGATTTTGTGATTACTTTTCCAAATGGTATTCACAACTGTGGTGAGTAATGGCTTACTAGGATATCAGGGGGTGAGTGAGAGGTGAGGGAATGTGCCCCCAAGCCCCGACTAGCCTAGCATGCCAGTCTACTTTCAAATTTTCTTCCTTTAAGACTATTGTCTTTTAAATTACAAATGATGCAAATATAGTTTCTTCCCATGATGCCCACTCCTCCAAGGATCTGAATTTTAGGTGCAATCTTTTCTAATTTTAAGTAAAATTAGAAATATCAACAATTAAAATAACTTTTAGCAAAAGTTCTAAAATAAAAAAAATTATCTCTATGCTGATAGAACATTTCACACAACACTTATCAAATTAAGTAGTAAAATATAAATTTCTTACAAGTTTTTTTTTAATAGCCAGAAAGAATTTATAAGGATATTTGCTAAAGAAGAAAATACTTCATGAAATTTATGTCAAAAAGCACACATTCACATTTTGTGAAGTTTGACCAACTACAGAAAACCTGCAGAAAATTTAAGATGCAAATATCTCCTCATTGTTGAAGGGCATTAAAATGTGGTTCACAGAATCCCAGGCAAGAATGTAACCTCGTTTTACTCTAAATGTCAGTCCATTAGCATTGAAGTTAATTTCACATCCACATGGCACTAAATGTAATTTTCTATAATTAGCCTATAACAGTCTGCATAAAATGGAAAACAGCAGTAGAAATATATTGAAAACTAGCAACATTTTCCTAACCCAGGTTATTTGGAATAGCCACTAGAAAAAAATTATTCTATGTCACTGCCAGTGGAAAAACTAAATTACTTTATAATAAATCAAGCTTAAGTGTCCAAAACGTTAAACATGTTGTTTTCTAACGAAATATTACATACATTTCCTCACTTTAAAAGTAACTGCATTGAACAACTAAACTTTTCTATTTTTAGATCACTGTCAGCAAGCCAACAACTAAATGAACACAAGTGCAAATGACAAATGGAATAATCTAATATCTCTTTTCCCATTACCAAATTAGATTAAGAAATACAATTTACAAAAAGTCCAATTTCACCACTAAATTTAAACTAGTTTTCAGAGGATCATTTTAAACTTAAAAGTCAATATGGTTTATGAGTCAAAAAGCATTTGATATTTTTAAATTCTTCAAATTCAATTATGTAATCAATACACTGAATAAGTATCACTTCAGAGATGCAATTTCAAAAACAATTTCATTTTGTCCTTCACTTTTCTCTTGATTTTTATTCAATGTAGTAGTTCATCCTCCACACCCGGATGAAAACTTGGGATAGCCTCGTGGTTTTTCCAATCACTTTTATCTAATACAAGTCCTATAGTCACTTTAGACATAAAACAATCTCAATTTGGTTATTAGAATATCCAGCTTCAGTGGTATGACAGCTTCCCTTGCCCAGCTAGGATCTGCTGCAGGTTAACATGCAACACCGGGGAAGGGAGTGTTTATGATAGCCTCTCTCCTTTTATCCAAACCTCTTCCTCTTTCTAAGCTGTTTCACTCCTCTCTGGGTTGGAAGGGACTGGAGGTAGATGATGAAGATGGAGGTGAGAGGAGCAGAAATGTTCTACCTGACCGGCTCAGTCGGTAGGCTAGCCTTACCAACTGAGTGTGGCAATTACCTAAGGCCTACTCTTTTCCCCTGAAATGCTTGGTGACTTTAGAGGGCCACCCCCTTTCCCACTGCTGGGGACCCTTCGTCTACAGTTTCCTTAATGTAGGTCATAAATTTAGGACAGACTACATAATCTGTGGGGCCCAGTGCAAAATGAAAACATGGGGCTCTTTGTTCAAAAATTATGAAGAATTTCAAGATGACAATAGCACACCATTTAACCAGCACAGGGCCCTTCTAATTGCATGCTCCTTTGCAACTGTGCAAGCTGCACACTCATGAAGCTAGCCTTGCATATATCCCTCATGTGGCTCTAGAATGCATTTTTTTGTCAGCTGAGGTCCCATGTTTTCCAGACTCTATTGAACGGGATATGAATCAATTTCAATTGCACTCTTTGATGCCCATGGCACAACCTAGTCTATAGGGAACACTCATGAATCTTCACCTAAACAAAAGCTGGGAGTGCAAGATGACCACGCAACCACCTTTCTATCATTTCCACAGCATGTCTGCTTTTTCAGCCCCACCTCCACTCAGCCCACCGAGATCTGCAGGAGAAATTTATTAAAGTCATTAAATAGTTTGCTTAAAGCCCTTTTCTCTTGACTTGAGATGAAGGGAAAAACCAACGGGACGGGGCAGGACTCAGCACAATTCTCTCCAGAGAAATGCTCTCTGATAAAAATCTTTCTTTTTAATCTCCAACATCTAAATTTTTTTATACCCTCAACGTGAGTAATGAGTTTAAAAGTCAAAACTGGATTTCCAAATTTCTTCTGAAAATTTTCCATCTTGGTCCTCATTTTAGTATCCAATATTTATCATTATGGGTCCCCTGCCGAAACCGACATTTTAACAACCAATTTTAATTACCTGATGTCTACACACTCATTCAACATATTTTATTACGTACAATACTTGTAACACTAACTCAAGCCATTTCTTAACCACACAAGTTATTCTTAAATCAGAGTGAACTTTTGATAAATGGGTTAAAATTAAGCTTTTACATAATGTACGAGGTAAATAGCCAGCCCTGGTGGTCTAGTGGTTAAGATTTGAGCTCTCACTGTCTCAGCCCGGGTTCATTTCCCAGTCACAGAATCACACCACCCATCTGTCGGTTGTCATACTGTGGCAGCTGCATGTTGCCGTGATGCTGAAAGCTATGCCACTGGTATTTCAAATACCAGCAAGTCACCCATGGTGGACAGGCTTCAGCAGAGTCTTCCAAACTAAGACAGACTAGGAAGAAGGACCTGGCCACCCATTTCCAAAAAAACTGGCCATGAAAACCCTGTGAATACCAGCAGAGGATTGTCTGATACAGCACCGGAAGGTAAGAGGATGGCACAAAAAGATTGGGCAGGGTTTCGCTCTGATGGACACAAGGTTGCTAGGAGTTGGAAACAACTCAATGGCACTAACAACAACAAAAAAGAGATCAATACATATATCATGGACCTGTTTCCTGTTTAAACAGATTTTATGGTCTGAAAATATTTAGTATATTTTTTACTAGTATGAAACAGTTTTGTGTGTATTTGTTGTTGTATTTGGTTTTAAAATTACTAGCTTTAACTGATAGTCACACTGCAACATTCTTAAATGCAGGCAAATTTTTTTCTGCCAAAAACGTTGTATAACTATATGTGTACAGGATCATAAACATAAAACTGCCAATTGATTTGCTTTGCAAATATAAACTGACACTTAACCTTTATGATGAAGTGCAAGATACATACATTAGATTCTTTTAAAGGTAGAAGTAGTGGTTCTGTATTTGCTGCTAACAAGCTATGCAACTATGTCCCTAATATCTTTCCTTTTCAGAACAAGAGAAATGAAGCAGCCTCATTTGTTCTCTAAGACACCTTGAGTGTAGACAACAAATCTGATTTCGTTTTTTTTTTTTTAAAGTTCCTAAAAGTATGGAAACCTCAGGTAAAATGAATGTGAAAGACCACATGCATTCCATTAATGTTAAACTGACCCTGAACCCATATTTATTGTTTTTAAAGATGCCAGGTAATAATTTTATTCTATAGCCATACAGGAATTTGTTTATATATGTTATATATATCCCACATGCTTTTATATATCCTTGTCATAGTTATAAGACAGGGTTTCTAGAAATAAATAATTCTAAGACTTAAAATGTGTTTTTTAGTCTACAGCTTTCTATCAGGCTTATAAGAACACAGGTGCCCATCTTGATTCCATGGTTAAAAGTTGCAAATTAAATAAGAATATGACATGAAGAAAAGATGCTACAAAATTAACTCTTAGTGCATTCACAACACGGGATATGACAAATTATCCACTAATAACTGATTTTTTACTATTTTTATATATTTAGTATTAGAATAAAATATATCCATTTTCTTTCCTTGATTCTTACTAGGGAGCAATAGAAAATTATCTTCGTACATCAACATATTCTATGCCAAGTGAGTTTTCCCGGTTGGAGGAAGAGAGAACATAAGTAGATCCAATTATCCACCTGGGAACTTTTGGTGACTTGGAAATTTCAAGATCCAACAACCAGGCTCCCCACTAGGAAACTGCCGGCAGAGGTCAGGTAGCCAACAGCAACGTGTATATTTGATATGGTATATATCAAAGAGATGCTCTAACAAAGGGCATTCAAGTTTTTAAAAAATTACAACACTTCATCAAATAAAATAGAACTGGCAGGCCTTGTTTGGCCAGCAGGACACCTATTTTGTAATCTCTGAATTATGGGAAGAGTTCAGTCACTCTGAGTCTAGTTGGGCTGTGTCTTCTCCTAAACATTTTGCTTTGAGCTCCCTTCAAGTAGGGGCACTTTCATTCAGCTGACATTCTTCCAGCCCACAACAGGGTACACAATGGGTGCATAATGCATACTTGTCGAATGGATAAATGTAGCATCTAACAGACTTAGGAAAATGGAACATATAACCCAAAGCCACCTGAGGAAAAATCTCAGACCATGTCTGCCTGTTGGAGGAAGTAGTTTCTTCATCCTGGGAGAATCTTACCAGGAACCTGGAGAAGAAGTTAGGCAAATGTCCGAGTCCTCTATGCAGAACTAATTCCCAAGAAAATGATGACCAAGGATCACTTTACCCACTGCCCAAGGCAGAACTAGGGGATCCCAAGAAGGACTCAATTAATTCTCCAATCTAAAGCCAGGTGAGAGCAGTTTCAGGAGGACCCCCCCAGGGATGGCAGCTGGTTTTCCATGGTCCATGATTCTTTACACTAATTACATCCCAAACCTGGACTGTATATAATAGAGGCA